TGAGGTACCTATAGAGAAAACAGGATATATTAAGTTTAAAATGAAGTTTAGTATGTTTAATTTTATTTTAAGCCCTTTAAAAGTGATCGCTGTACAACTCAATTTATAAATTGGCCTTGAGAACTTAGGGAAGAAATAAGTTTTTGAATTTGTAACTTTATTTTTAAAAAGGAGACTCTCAATAATGGTTTTTGTGCACAAAAGTCACCATCAAGGGTATCAAAAAACTGAAAACAAGAGCCAAACACCTCATTGATACAATATAATCCTAACTGCCATACCTGTTGGGGAAAAAAAATCAATAATGGCATATTAAAAAGATAAGAAGACTTTTTTTTTACTCTCTTGATGATCATTGGAAACATTTGCAAGAAAAATCTCAAAACTTAAGATCACGTCTGAGGAATTTCTTAGTACCCAAGAAATGTTTGTTAAATAAACAGCAATCATTAGAAATAACTGTTAAATGAGGCTGATGCAAAATAAATGAACATGAATTAAACTACAAAACCCAAACTATTTCCGGGTTATTCCCAAAGGTTGGTAGATTTGTTTTGTACTTATACCAATATATAAGTATACTTGATAATGATGATAATGAAATTCAAGCACTGAAAATTCTTCAATCAAACTGATTCACTGGACAATCAAATATACTAAAGGTGGTACATTACCAAACCACAATGTAATTTAATTAATATAGAAATCAATATGAAACAGATAAAAAGCCCTGAAATATTTGGAAATTATATACTACACTTTTAAATAACCCACAGTTCAAGGAAGAAATCACAAGGGAAATTAGAAAATAAATAATAAAAGTACAGCATATCAAAATTTGTGCACAGTTATAGCGTTAAATGCCTATATGAGAAAGGTAAAAAGATTTAAATCAATAATCTAAGCTTCTACTTTAAGAAGCTAAAAAAAGATAAGCAAATTAAACCCAATTAAGTAGACAAAGAAAATATTAAAGATAAAAGTAGCAATCAACGGTAATACAGTATACCATTAAGAAAAATAAAGGCAAGCTACAGACTGAGAAAATATTCATGATATATATATATACATATCTATATACAAATTTGTATCTAGAATATATATAAAGAATTCCTATAACACAATAGTAAAAGACAAGTAACCAAATTTAAAGAATGAGCAAAAAATATCACAAATAATGTCTGGCTGATTGGAAATGTAAATTGAAACCAAGAGATGCTGCCACAATCTCCTAGAATGTCTACAATGAAAACAATAGATAAAACCAAATGTCCGCAAAAATGTGGGAACAACTGGAATTCCCATACACTGCTGGTAGGAATGTAAACCTTTGGCAAAAGGTCTGGCAATTTATTATAAAGTTATATGTATACCTACTCTCTGACTCAGCAATTCCACTCTTAGGTAGATAAACTTAATGAAAATATACATCTACAAAGGGAGTTATACAAGAATGTGCATATGAGCTTTATTCACAACAGCTAAATACTAAAAACCATTCAAGTGTCCACCAATAGGAGAATGGATAAAGAAATTGTGGTATACTCACACAATGGAAAACTACTCAGCAATAAAAAGAAACAAACTTTGATACACGCAACAACATGGATAAATCACATAGACATATGCTTAGCTGAACACAAGAGTATATATTGATTCCATTTACATTGCTGGTGACAAATACAAGAACAGTTGGGGGAGGTGGACTGATTGGGAAGGGAAATAAAGAAACTTGATGGGTAGATGTTAATGTTCTATACCATAATAAGGGTGTGAGTTACATGAATGCACTTAAACTGTACAGATAAAATCGGTCCATTTCAATCTATGTAAATTTTACATTAAGAAAGCCTTATGGGCTTCCCTGGTGGCGCAGTGGTTGAGAGTCCGCCTGCCGATGCAGGGGACACGGGTTCGTGCCCCGGTCTGGGAAGATCCCACATGCAGCGGAGCGACTAGGCCCGTGAGCCATGGCCGCTGAGCCTGCGCGTCTGGAGCCTGCGCTCCGCAACGGGAGAGGCCACAACAGTGAGAGGCCCGCGTACCGCAAAAAAAAAAAAAAAAAAAATTGAGTGAGGGTAGGGAGTGGTCTGAGGTACAGATAAAACAAGAATGGCAGTTATATCGCTAATAATTGAAGCTGGATGATGGGTACATGGGGGTTCATTATAGAAACCTATTTATTTTGTATGTGTTTGAATTCTTCCATAACAAAAAGCTTAAAAAAAAAAAGGAAATGGACTAATTTCTGAGTCTTTTTAAATTAAAAACAGGACAATCTTATTTACTATCCCAATTAAAATAGGCAATCACCTAAATATGGCTATTTTATATGTTAACAATATTCTAATAAGAAATTTAATTGGACTGTTAAATTTAAGTGGGGCAATCTGTGACTCCCCATGCTATTTTGGGGCTTTCAACCAATAACTTTTTCATATATAAATTTATGAAATATAGCTTTGGTATTTTTTTTAATATACAAGCATACAAAACACTTTTATTCTTATTAAATTTCTTAGTGATTAAAAGAAAAAGTTATTCAGGGAAGTTTACTAGTTTCTACAAATATGGCCTAATCTCTTATAGCCAAAAGTATTTCTTTAAATCTGATTTTTTCCATTGGAATTAATTTGTGGGAAAAAAAAGTCCACTGAATATGTAAAAATATTTTTAGATACAGTGTACAACAACAGGATCTCTTTAACTTCTATTTCTACTCTACTCAGTTTCACTAATTGAACTTTTCATTGTAACAGTTATGTTTAAAGTAGGAAGTGTAAAACACATTCCCAGTGAAGCTCTTCTGCTATTAAGTGGAAAAGATTCATCTTAGTTATTATTTCCATGCCTTTGACCTAAACATGCTGTTATGTGAAAAATTCCCCTCCTGGGTTTTCAAGTTCCCTCACCACAATCAATAACCAGCTAATTTTAATACTCTTCAACCAACTATTATTCATTCAGATGGTATATAAGTTTTGCTGTTAAAAAAAAAAAGTTATCCCATGCCAATTTCAGATTGATTATTTGCATTAATGGAGAATAGCAGTAAAAAATTTAAAGCCTTGCGATAATATTGATACATAATGGCTTTCATGTGTACAGATTTATATTATTAGTATAGTGCCTAGCATAGAACTGAAACAAATAATAGGTGTCTAAAAACTATCTATTGATTCATTGGTTGTAGTTAAGAAGAATTAGCTTTAAAGTGTGTTAGACTATAGAAGGGAGAATTACACTTATTTGAATAAAACCAACCCCCCACACTCCCCATCCCACAGCAGCAGCTTCAGATCTTCTACCAAGAAAATTAGCAAGTTAGTAGGATTTGGGGCTAAGAGAGACCCCAGAAATCAAAGTTTAACCCCTTTATTTCACAGATGAGGAAAATGAGTCTCAGAAAAGTTAAAGTGGGTTGATTAGGGGTACTGAATAGCAGAATCAGGATTAAAATGAAAATACGTTTCTTGATTCCTACTCTATAGTTCATCCCTTACCACCAATTTCTTAGTGTCTGAAACATAACTCAAAAATATGGTTTTCGTTTATATATTATGTGTAATGTTTACTAACATATACTATTTCAGAATTCTAGTTAATTCTGTTCTACTCATTTGTATGACTGTATACAACCACTCATTATATCAGCACTGCCTTCAGATGATTACTTCTAGTTTCAGCTGCAATATCTCTAGCCTCCAGCAGGGGGAGGATTTATCTAAAAAGCCACACCAAAAATCAGACAAACCAATGACAAGAACTAGAACTTTACTCCCAATCCATTCATTTGCTTTAAAGTATCAGTAGCTTGTCACTATGCTAATGAAAGCTTTCCTTTTCCAAATTTTCTGGTTCTTCTGTAATGTAATACAGTCCACGATTTTATAAAATTTGATCTAAATTGTGCATTTGAAGTGGGCTTTAATGGAAAAAACTAATTCGAAACAGGCTCAAGAAATGTATAGAACAAATAAAATCTTGCTTACCATTTTTGCTTCTGACTGTACTGGTTGAGGAGAAGAAGGACCTGGAATTCCCGGAACACTAGGCACCATGGTGACTGGTCGAACAAGCTATGCAGAAGATATTGAAAAATAATTGCTAGAGAATATATTCAAAATGAGATTTGTACTTTTATTTGCACAATGGCTGCTATAATAATTTACATATTATAATCAATATAATGCATTAACATTTACATGACAATATATTATACATTAATAGAAAATGTATATTAATATTAATATAAATATAATTGGTATAATTATTTGAGACTTCAGAATTAGAAAACTGTATCTCTGTCTGAACCCTTATTGATCTTAATCCTGATTTATCCTTCAAAAGTTGTCAATTGAGGCTTCCCTGGTGGTGCAGTGGTTGAGAGTCCGCCTGCCGATGCAGGGGACACGGGTTCACGCCCCGGTCCGGGAAGATCCCACATGCCGTGGAGCGGCTGGGCCCGTGAGCCATGGCCGCTGAGCCTGCACGTCCGGAGCCTGTGCTCCGCAACGGGAGAGGCCACAACAGTGAGATGCCCGCGTACCGCAAAAAAAAAAAAGAAAAAAAGTTGTCAGTTGTTCTGAGACACTCACTTTCCTAATCTTCAATTTTCATAATTCCTTTTTTTAAATGACTTCTTCTTATAGAAAATAATATTTAAAGTGATGGATTTCTCACAGATCTGTCACCCTTCCATTTTGAATGTGAAAGGAAAGAATGTTAAAACTTGTATAACTAGGCATAGAAAGTAATTTCAACAATGAACTTTGCTTTTCTAAAATATATACATATAAAATTTCTAAAATATACAATGAAAGTTCTTTGATATATTAATATAAAGCATGACAAAGAAGAACCTGATTACCTCTAATAATTCCTCTAATAATAATAATATGTAACAGATTTTTCTGGTTTTTGCCTTTTTTAAAAAACCTAATATCAACACTGAATGATTAATTATTATGTACCTAAAGTATACCTCTTTTTCATTTCAGTTTCTCTCATCACAGTTACATTTAACGGGATAACCATACAATCCCAGATACAGGACAAGGATGTTTCCCCCTTGAAAATATCCTGAGAAAAGAGGAAGTAATCACCTTATATTCGAGTCCTTATAAAATATCTCATTCTGAACAACAAAGTTCTGTTTGAAGACAACATATTATCTTGAAATTATTTCAATCAATGTTAATTTTGGATACTTAGAAAGGTCACTTTGGAAGAACTAGTTAATAAAAAAGTAAATATTTAACATTAATTTTAGTATTATTTCTGAGGATATAATCTCACCAAAGTGTTAGATGTTACTGTAAAGAGGCTTTTAAAACTAATTTTTAAAAGCTATACAATAAGTGATTATATTGTACTGATCAGAAACAACTATCTACAAGGTAAAAGAAGAAACTGTCTTTTTATTACATGAATGAATATTAGGACTTGGTGTAAGATTCCCAGGATTACAATAATAGATTAAACACAAGTGTTAATAGATTGTGTTAATAGATTGTGTTAATAGATTAACACAAAAGTGTTATACTGAAACTACTTGGGTGAGGATGAAAACAATGTGTTTTGGAAAATTGTGTGAGATTTCTTAAAAAGTGGTTCTAATGATGAAAACTTGAATGTTGAAGACACATTTGAAGAGTCTGAATAAACTTACGAAATGTGAGAACAGGAAAAAAGGATTATTTCTAACATATTATTCCAAAGAATGTGCTTCTAAATATTCACTATGTTATTAAATATTGTAAGTAGATATTTAACTACTGTCTATGTCTTTCAAAATTTATATATTTAACATGCCCTCAAAAAACTTTTCTTATGCATCTTCTCTTTAGGAAAGTGGGGACTATCTATTGCCCATTCTACTAGACCATTTAGATTTTCACACGCTTGGGACAGCAAAGGAATTTTGTAAACCCAACCTGACCATAATATTTCACAGAGTGCTTTTATAAACAATTTCTATAGTAATCAAAATAACATGGAGTTACCTGATAAGTGTTCCAGTATAAATGTCTTCTTAAAGAATAGAAATCTATGTTAATATTTGAATTCTACAAATCTAGCAAATTGAAATGGGTTGAATATGGAATAAAGTTCTTAATACTAAAAATAAAAGGAAAACAAGATTTTTAGGATGGAAAAATGTTTTCTATCCAATTGTGTTTGCCTTGAAAGGTAAATGCTATCACAATAAATATCAGTGAGTAAATATTGCTCACCACTAAGTATTTTGTTGAATTCAGTTTCATAAACTAATCAAGCAGCCCCCCCTTGGGCTGTATTTTCTGATTACAAAGATCGGTTTTACTATAAAGAAAAAATTTTAATAGTCTAAATTTCAAACTTACTGGGACTGCAGCTGGAACATGCACATTCGAACTTGTAATTGATGCAGGAATAGCAACAGGCATGGTTTGTCCATTAGGAAGATGTAACAGAAGAGGAAATGGGCCTGGTACAGGACTAAGGAAAACAAAAGAAGGGCAATTAGAGAAAAGAAATCCCTATCAATAATCTCTAAAAATACAAGAGTATTTTTACTCCTATTATTATATCATTTAAAAGTAAATTTTCCAGAGAAAGGTAAACACTGTATGATTTCACTTATATGTGGAATCTAAAAAACAAAACAGATGAACAAACATAACAAAACAGAAACGGAGAACAGACAGGTGGTTTCCAGAGGGAAGGGTGTTTGAGAGATGAGAGAAATTAAGAGGTACAAACTTCCAGTTACAAAATAAAGGAGTCACAGGGATGAAATTCAGTGTGAGGAATACAGTCATTAATAATGTTATATCTTTGTACAGTAACAAAGGTGGTCAAAAGGTACAAACTTACAGTTATAAGATAAATAAGTACTAGGGATGTAATGTACAACATGATTAATATAGTTAACACTGTTGTATGTTACATATGAAAGCTGTTACCAGAGTAGATCCTAAGAGTTCTCATCACAAGGAAAAAATATTTTTTTCTCTTATTTTATATCTGTACAAGATGATGGATGTTCACTAAACTTACTGTGGTAATCATTTCATGATGTATGTAAGTCAGATCATTATGCTATACAACTTAAATATATACAGTGCTGTATGTCAATTGCAGTTAACCCTTGAACAAGAGGGTTAGATGCACTGACACTATGCAGAGTCGAAAATCCCAGTGTAGCTTATGGTCAGCCTCTGTATCTGCAGATTCAACCAACTGTGGATTGTGTAGTGTGGTAGTATGTACTTGTTGAAAAATATCTGTGTGTAACTGGACTCACGCAGTTCAAACTGGTATTGTTCAAGGGTCCACTGTATATCTCAATAAAACTGGAAAAAAAAGAAAAAAGAACTGCAGCTCCAGCCCAAGAAAATGCCTATGTGACAGATGGAAACTTGATACCATCTTTCTCATAACATGAATAAAATACCCACAGAAAATTATTCATGGTATATATACACCACTCAAGTAATTAAAAACAAAACAAAAATCTTCCAATCACTGCAAAGCACATCGTAAAATTTAATTGTTTTTAATTGCATCTTAAATGCACAATGTACGTAAGCAGTGTAGAGAAAAAGAGGAAAAAAATGGAAAAAGTTATGAATTTACTTAGGACAATCTCCAACATGTTAGTTGAGAAAAATTCTTATCAACTACCTGTAAGAAATGAAAGAAATGTTACCTGGTGATAAGAATAATCTTATGTGTTTTGTGTGAAATAGCATGAAAATAAGAGACCATCTTAAAATCACATTCTATGTTGATTTGTTCTTCAAATTAAGTTTTAGATATTTATTTTCTAATTTATTAGATACTATTTATATTTATTAAAAAGACTACCCAAGCATTTTTTCCGAAAATCAAAGCATGCAAAATACTATTAACACACACACACACACAAAGGCCACAATTAGAATAATTAAATATCTTAGGACAAATCATAACAAGAAAAACTTAACAATTCATATAATTCAATGATTGGCCCAAATCACTTACACGATTGGCCTGTTGGAGGACGGTGCCTGTGTGATTACAGTACTTGAGGTTGGTGAAGGTACTGCCTGCTGAATAATTACACTTGAGTCAGAACTTGTAAGCAGCACATTGGGAACCTGTAATGATGCTGGACGAACGATAGCTGATGTGGGCTGTGCAGTTTGTGTCAATGGTACTTCCTATTTAATAATGAGATAGAGAAAGAATGTAATTTAAAAATGCAAGTCAACAGAATATAACACATTTTTAAAAACAAACATAATACTTAATATACCCCAAAGTATATTAATATTTAAAGTTAATTAAAAGAAAATTGTAGAAGCCACTGTAAAGTTTCAGATGCAATGTTCATATTTTAATTTAAAAACATCTTGAGTGGTTTTTTCAGTACAATTTATTTTACCATCAATCTAGAAATAAGTTAGGCTGGGCAACTTGGCTATATAACTCCATGAGAATTTAAGTTAAAAAACAGAAATACAACTCCATTCTCATGGAAGCATAGAACTTAAAATCCAGAAGGGATTGCCTAGTCCTACTCCATCATTATACTGTATAAAGAAGAAATAGGTCCAGGAGACTGTTTTATAGTTGATACAAATTCAATAATAGAATACTTATAAAATGGTACTATAGTAAGGGCCCAAAAATGTTAAAAATTTTTTAATACAAATATTTGCTAATTTCAGGTAACTATCTCTACATTATCAATAATTTCTCAGTATCAAAAGGCCGAGTAATATTGATACCTTGAATGTAAAAATAAATAACTATTGGAGTAACATCTTTCCAAAGTAAAGGAAAACACAGAACCTCATAGATGGTCTTTTCCCCAGTTTTACAGATTAGAAAACAGAGATTATCCAGGACTCTGTAACTAGTTACTGTAAAAATTGGGTCTACTATGTTCTTTGAATTGGCCTTTATACTGCCATTTATTATCAAAATCTTATTAAGCTATACAGGAAGAAAGATAAACTAGTAGTACTGGGACTTCATTTATTTGACAAGTTTGAGAATTTACAACACACCCTCAAGGCCTAGTGGGAAGAGAGACAATAAACAAGTAAAACAAACAAGAAAATTTCAGACTGTAATGTGTTACAGACTAACAGCAAAACATAAGAAATCATGAAAGATCAACTGAGGGAAGGTTGGAGTTGGCTCCTTTGATAGCATAGTGAGGTAAGGTGAGCTTCTTTGCAAAACAGCATTTGAACAGGTACTGAAAAGATAAGGAGGAGAGCATTCTAGGGAAAAGGAAGCAATACCAAGAGCAATGTCTTTGAGGTAGGAAAAAGCTTAGAATACCTGATGAACATCCCAGAGAATGGCATGAGGTGAGGCTGGATGGGTAGGTAAGTCCAGATCAATGAGGACTTATAGAAGGAGTGTGTTACCTTAAATGCAATGGCAAACCATTGAAGGATTTTAAGCAGGGAAGTGACATAATGTATTAAAAATAAAATAGCCTATGGAAAATAGGTTGGAGATGGAAGTAGAAAGTCCAGGTAATTGTTAAAAATTATATTAACATTATTAATATATTAATTATATTAAAATTATTATATTAATATTATTTGTATTTTAACAAATAATAATTGTTAACAATTATTAGAAGGTAATCGTTAACAATCCAAGTAAAAGATGATGATGGACTGGACTAAAGTGGTGACACTGAAGATAAAAGAGATAAATTAAGGATATATTCAGGAAGTAGGTCTAGTAAGATTTGTTACTGGTTTCAGTGTGAAGGAAAAGAGGGAATTAAGTATTCTTTATTCTTGGCCTGAGCAACTAGATGGATGGAAAGAAGTTTTCCCTGTTTTACCGAGACAGGGAAAACTGTGGGAAAAAAAATCAAGGGCTCTAATTTAGACATACTATGTTTAAGATGTCCATTAGACACAGAAAAGGAAACGTCAAGATGGAGCTGGATATGAATATGGAAATCTGGGAAATATCCGGGTTGATATAAATTTGAAAACCACGAAGATGGTTTTTAAAGTTATGAGTCTGGATGAGAGCACTTAAGAAAAAAATTGAGAAAGAAAAGAGAAGGGGGCCCAGAACTTGCTTTTTACAACTTGGAATGACTATGCCATGCCCAGGGGGAACTAATGACTGAGGAATGCAGGAAGAAGAAATACCCCTAAAAGAGGCTAAAGCAGCAATCAACAGGAAAAAACTGCTGAGTGTGAAGGGACTGAAATACTTTCTAGGAAAAAGATATTTATATCAAAGATTTAACAGCGTTTCTTATAATTGTGATAATGTGGAAACAACCTTTATGCCCAACAAGAACAAGATAAGTAAATACATTAAGGTAATGATAAAATAAAGTGCAAACATTAAAAATTATGACTTTGGAAAATTTTCTAATGCCATGGGAAAATGTACATTAATGCTGAATGTCTAAAGCATGATATAGAAAAGTAAACTGGGACTTCCCTGGTGGCACAGTGGTTAGGAATCCACCTGCCAATGCAGGGGACACAGGTTCAATCCCTGATCCGGGAAGATCCCTCATGCTGCGGAGCATCTAAGCCCGTGCACAACTACTGAGCCTGCGCTCTAGAGTCTGAGAGCCACAACTATTGAAGCCCGCGCACCACAACTACTGAGCCCACGCACTGTAACTACTGAAGCATGCGCGCCTAGAGCCTGTGCAATGAGAAGCCTGTGCACTGCAATGAAGAGTAGCCTCCGCTCACCACAACTAGAGAAAGCCCGCACACAGCAAGGAAGACCCAAAGCAGCCAAAAAAAAAAAAAAAAAAAAACCCAAGATTCCTCTTTGTATCCTATAACTATTCACTTATATATGTATATTTTTATGTATAAATGCATGCATATATCTAGGAAAAACGTTTCAAAATACTAGTAATTCTTATCAGTCAATTATGGGCTAAAAGGTAGTTTTTTTTTTCTTTCTTGTATTTTTCTATATTCTTAAACTTTTTATAATGAGAATGTACCTTTATAACAAGGAAATGAAAAAAACACAAAACACCTAAGGTCAAAGCATTTATTCCTAGGTAAATAGTTACTTTTTCTGCCTTACTTCTAGCTCCTCTGCCATGGCTCTTCTATTCTCCCCAATAATTTTTCTGTGTGTAACAAAAAACGAATTATCTATAAAGGTACAGTCTTCTTTCCCTGAAATTTCTGAGTATTCACAGGCTTTCACATATAATAAGACTATTACAACCTGACACTGATTTATGTATAATTTATTACATTAACATTTTATGTAGATCAAATATTAGACTTAGCTGATTTTTTTTCCACTTAGTTTGTGTTTCTACCATAAATACAAATTTCTAACCTTCTCATCACTGGTAGTAGACT